TCTTTGTATTTTAAAACTGGAGAAAAGGCAGAATCTCTTCAATATGTACTGGCTAATGTAATCATTATCCTAGTTGTATATTTACATACAATATATCACTGTTAACAAGTAAGCATCAAATCTGGAGTAAGACCTTTGATTCTTTTGAATGCATGTATTGACAAACACTAGTCTAAAAAATTGTGTAAATCAATTTATTTTTATTATCGTTCTTATACTCATATCAGCACTTTATGGTACAATCTGAAGAAAACAAACAAATAGACCGGTAGTTAATGCTAACAATTATTTTTGACTCCATACAGCCACTGATTTGTAACCTTCTTCTGATTTCTCAAGGCAATCCAACAGATCAATAAAAATGTTTTTGACATTGCTATTAACAAGTGTCCATGCCACCATGCATGATCTTAAAATATTCATTTTGTTTTCCAGTTCATAAGAGAAAAGAAAGAGATAAGCTATATGGGTCTTCTATAATCCTCTGCTGACTGTCTTCATTACGACTGCCGAGCATGTAATGTCATGATCACTTTTTAACAGAATACAAAACTGAGTGCCCTTGGCCCAAGGATGCTCCAGACCATCCTTGTTTCCAGGGATTATGCTCACTTTTGATCTCTGCACCCCTGGAATTTGTCATAGCAAAATTGAAGGCTCAGTGTGCAGCACCTTAAGGACGAGACGAGAAGTTTGGTCCTTTGATGTACATCAAAAGAATCTCGCGGTCGTGTAACAGTTAAACTTACTGGCTTTGAAGTCGGGTGTCAATCTTCTGTTATCTTCAAAGGACAAGTATCAGCCTATTGATTGGTCAGGATTTTTTACCTGACACCCATCAAATAGCTAGCCACTTGCCTTCAATTTTGCTATGACATATTCCAGGGATACAGAGAGCGAAAGTGAGCGTAACCCCTTGATATCGAGGATGGCTCCAGACCAAATTGGGTTGAAATCACTAATCCCTATGGTAGAAGAATTTTAAAGTTTTTTCTCTATTTCCCATATTTGGACACACTCCTCTGCCCCCAGGGGGGCTACACATCAACCCTTTATAAGCAAGTGACTTCCCTTGACCTAAGGATGCTTCAAACCAAATTGGGATGAAATCCCTTAATCCCACTTGATAACAAACCTTCACTGTCAAATTCCAAGATGGCCACCATCTGGGCTAAAAATTCACGATATCCCAGTAATTGAACTGTGTCCGTTACTGTGTAGATTCTTGATTGGTATCAGGAAAACTGATGGTTCTCAATGTGAACCTACCAGTTTACGAGGGATGATGTCAAGTTTGGATCGACAATTACGTCGCACCAACTACGGTCAAACAATTGTTAGCAGCCCCATGTTTGCCCAATGTCGCACTGAGGTTATGAAAAGTAAACAGCATCAGTTGAAATGAGGCGAAAAATGCAATGTAGCACACAGAAGTGATCCAAGAAATGACAATGAAATAGACATACTATAGAATTCTTGCCAACTAGGTTCAAACACGCCTGACAGCTTACTACAAACACACCTGACAGCTTACTACAAACACACCGGACAGCTTACTACAAACACACCTGACAGCTTACTACAAACACACCTGACAGCTTACTACAAACACACACGCCTGACGGCTTACTACAAACACACCTGACAGCTTACTACAAACACTACTGTACAGTTCATCTTGGTCTCCGGGGCTCGGCAGAACAAAGGGACATGTGTTGGGGTGATGTAACTCTTGAAAAAAATGGGGTTGTTTATTTTGTCATTGTCCAAGTAGACAATAGAATGGTGTCTCTTGTGTACATGACTGAGAATAACTTTCTTCCATAAAGAACAATAGGTTGTTTTATCGTGTTATGTAATAATATCAACATTCTATTTACTTGTGTGTATTACACTATTGAAATGTGACAATCTGTAAAAATTAACATAAACTTGGATATTGATTATCAGGAAAGTTTGATTGGAGACATGCACAGTATTGGTATTTTCTATATTCTGTTTCATCTTAGATGATGGGACATGAATCAACATGGACTTGTATATTGTTGTTTGTACTTAGTAATTAATAGCGAGTAGTTGTATAACGTACAGAATGTTAATATACCATACAATACTGGCTTAGCTTATTCATAATATTCAATGTATATAACTTAATATTTAACTATCTACAAGTCACTCTGTGTGGATCTTAAACTCACAGGGAGGATCTAGTGAAGGTAGATGGCTAATATTCACTCATTACCCTGGTGAGGTCAAGATGTAGCACAGTTCGACTTGTAACTTCCATAATCAGTTTGAGTTATCTCCCCTATACAATATGACCTGCACATTGATATCTGTTTTGTATATAAGTTGTGTCTTTTTTCAATTTTTCATTTCACTATAAATTATAATATATATATTTATGCTGATTCATACAAATGCAAGCAGGAGAGAAATGATATAGGCATAGCCTGTTGTTCGATTCCATTCATATACCATCAGGAACAGAATTTGTTGAAATGGGACAATCTTAATTAACATCATTATTTTAATTGAATTTTGTAATTTTTTTAGATCTCAAGGGAAGCAAGCGCAATTCCAAAAAGTTTACTATTCTACAAAAAAGTTTCAATTCTTTTAATTGAAACAAATCACATCCAGATCCAAGTAATTCTAAAATACAAATAAATGAAATAAAAACCACTGTGTCTCCTTTTTTCAATATTTCACCTGATTGTATGTTCTTATTTTTTGCCTTTAGATAATCAAATCTATCCATATATTTTAATTCAATGTCAGTTTGAAATGTGTCTAACAAATGTTATAATAAATAAAATAATTTTTCAGTCAATAAGCAGGGTTATTTTTATTTTATCTTTTTGTTAGTTTTAAAGTTCCACACAATATATACAAGGTTGGAGCCTACTTAACACATCAAAAATGGACAAGAGGCCCAATGGGCCTGCATTCTGTATTAATCTGCACACTTGTAACCTTAAAAGTTGACTAAAATAAAGCTATAGGCAAACAAGAGATCCAAGAGGGATTTTGGCACCCACCATTGTACCATCTTCATTAATCCTATGTCGGTTCGATCTTTTCTCTTCTTTTCTCTTATCTGTTTGATCAGTTTGCATGTCTGCCATCTTAATAAATCTTTTTATCAACCTCAAAAGTTGACATGCTCGTCTCAGGACCAAGGGGAACCTTCATATCAAGTTTGAGACAAATTTCTTCCAGTTAATTCTAAGAAATAGCGATAACAAACTTAAACTCTAACAAGATGGCCAGCCGATATGATTTGATATGCATAACTAAGAACAAGAGGAACCCTAATGTGAAATTTGAGAAATATCCCTCCAATACTTTTTGAGCAATAGGGCTAAACAACCTTTTACTCCCAAATTCGATATGATCACCTGCCAGCCATCTTGGTTTTCCAATCATCCCAAAAATCATAATGCGGAACTAGGAACTAAATCCTGAAACTTTCATTTTCAAATTCAAGATGGCCGTCTGTTGGCCATCTTGGTTTTCCCTTCTGTCCTAAAATTCAATATGCATAATTTAGGACCATGCAGAACTTACATGTAAAATTTGAGAAAAACTCCTTCAGAACTTTCTGAAAAACAGCGCTAACAAACTAACTCTCAAAATCAAGATGGCTGCCTGTCAGCCATCTTGGTTTTTAGATCAGTCCCGAAAAACAATATGCACAACAAAAAATAAAATGATGTGAAATTTGAGAAATATCTCTCCAATATTTTATGAGAAATAACGCTAACAAACTTTCATTCTAATATTCAAGATGCCTGGCTTATATAATCGGTCATCTTGGTTATGCGATCAGTCTCAAACTAGAACTGTAAGCTAAAGGCTTCCTAAGGCAAAGCAATATAGTCTCCCACCAGTTACAAGTATTTCGCACAAAGGGGCATAACTCCACCAAAAGCGTCAAAATCACAAATTAAAATACCAGCGCACAACTACATAAGATACCAATCATTCATGCAAAGTTTCAATGAAATCCACCTGTTAGTTGAGGAGTAGCATGGACAAGTATTTTGCACAAAGGGGCATAACTCCATAAAAAAGAGTCGAAATCCCAAATTAAAATGCTGGTGCACGACTACATAAGATATCGATCATTCATGCAAATTTTCAATAAAATCCACCTATAAGTTTAGGAGAAGTGTTCTGGAAAAGTTACTGTGGACGACAGACNCCCCCACCCCACCCCCCCTAACTTCGTTGCGGGGGTATCAATACGATATGCATAACTTGGGATCATGGGGAACCTTCATGTAAGATTTGAGATTTAAGAAATTTAAGATGGCTGCCTATCGGCCATTTGTGTTTTGCGATCAGTCCCAAAAAATAATATGCTTAACTAGGGATCATGGAGAAACTTCATGTGAAGTTTGAGAAAGATCCCTCCAGTATTTTCTGAGAAATAGCGCTAACAGTTTTTTTTTAAGGATGGATGGAATGACAGAAGGACGGATGACGGAAGCAGGGTGATTTGAATAGCCCACCATCTGATGATGGTGGGCTAAAAATGCCATATTCTCAAGTTATAAGCTAAAGTACTATTACTGAATCATATATAAACCACATTATTTACTGATCAAGTAACTTCATGTAATGTAAAGGGTACCACTGCATCAGTTGTAATCGCGAAGAAGAGTTCCACTCGGGATTGTTTTTGATTTGGAGTAGTCTCCCTTCTATAATGAAGATGATGCAGACAAAAGAAGTTTTGGTGGCTAAGAGTAACTTACCCGAAGATTCATAGAACTTTTTTTCAAAAATTCGACTTTCTAACAAATGTATTTCTTTACAATGCGTGACAACATGTGATTGTTATGGAATGTTTGTTTTCAAAAGGACAAATATTTCTCAATAGTGACAATGGCAATACTACAGTTGGTCTCGGTACTCTTCACCTCAAACTCATTATATAAGATGGCTTGACAGTCAAAAATTCCTTGTCTGCTCTGAAGAAAACCTGGCCTCACCGTTTAATACTTTTCTCCCTGTTGGGCCCGTGATACAGCAGGACGGACAGAAGGTTTGACCGACAACGTCTCTCGATCTCTTTGTGCCATTGGTGGATAAGGGAAGCCGGACACACAACCAAGTTCGCTTTCGACTTCACCAGATTTTTCCCAACTGCAGCATAAAAATAAATAAAAAAATTGTCTTGGTTATCCTTGTACTTGACGCATTTGTGGTCACAAAAATAAATTAAAATCTTAAGAGTGAGTTGTCACCATATAAGGTATTGCCAAATTTAACAATTCAATTTTTGAATAAAATTTCATACATTTTTAGTGACAAAAAATTCCCACTATACAGTGAACATAAATAAATTCTACTCAAGTCAAATTTTACCTAATTAACTACCATTTGGTTGGTTAATATTTTTGAACCCTAAACTTGTATGCAAAATCAACCTATCAGCATTGTTACAAAATTCATCTAATATGAAACAAAATCATAATGTGTACAAAAATTGACATTCGTAACAATATACTTATTCTATCTGAAATCAAACCATAAAAACTATTCTTTGATATATTTTAGGCCTATCAAGGCATAGGCTGAAAAAGGATGTGCAAAGCCTATCCTATTCTGTATTTAGCATGACACAATTTTTTTTTTAAATTATACAACTTTTTGCCATATACAGGTTTCTCTTACATTTGTTCATTTCCTTGTCTTTGCTCTTCCATCCATCACTGTCCTCCTCCTCCTGTTCTGTGGCCTCTCTTGATTCCTTCTGTTTGGCTATCAGGGATATCATGGTCAGTGTTTTACCCAGACCCATGTCATCAGCTGGACAACATAATAAATAAAAACTTTATTTAGTTTACAACAATTATGAAGCAAGTTATTCCAACTTATATTAATCAGACTTGTTCACTCGGATGTTAGAGTGTGTGGGATCTTATTGTGGGAGGAAATCAGGGGAAACTTAAGTGGTCGGGCAGCTGACCCAATATCTTTTCATTTCTGATTTGGGAATCGAACCCCGGTCGCCTTGGTGATAGGTGAGTGCGTTATCCACTGCACCACCCGACCACAAAATAGGGAGCAATTCTAATCAGCACACCATGATATAAACTATTAGTTAAATTTCATTTAAAAGATTTCTTTTCTAATTACTGTAAAAAATATATTCTTAATAAAACACAAACTTGTAATACAGCATCCTGTCCTGAGGAAGCCCAGAATGGCAAAAAACAAGTCGGCACTAAACCTTTGTGTTACCAGTGGAATGTGATGCTGGAGCAGAGGTGTGATTGTCACACCTTAACTCAAGACACATTTGAGCTCATTCAATTCAAAGGGGTGAATGAGTTAACTATTATATAAAGTTTTGAGTTGGTGTGTCCTACCAAGTATTCCTCCCTGGGGTTGTTGTTTCTCCCTCCACGACAGCCAGGCGAGTGCCCTTCGCTGATGGGTCATCAGGGGAACGGTGAGCCCCTTGGGATCTGTCAGCTCCATCTCCTCCCCAGGGCAGGTCTCCAGCTGTCTAAAACATACACAGGTAAATTTAAATCTGAATTATCTTTATACCATAAAGTATATCTAATGACCTACATCCATAGCTTCTATAGTGACCTGTATCTTCTCCAGTAACCTACTTATATACATGCAGTTTCTCTAGTGACCTTTCAAACTTTCTCCAGCTACTTAAATAGCTTCTATAGTGACCTATATTAGGTGATCTGCTTACATATTTTCTATTATGAACTACATTATATTTTATTTTGTGACCTATTTCATAAGGTACAGTTTTCCTGTTTCTGTTAGAGTTGATTAGTGACATACTTGCAAAATATATCTTATGACCTTTGCTATTTCTCCAGTGACCTATGTATATACATATATATAGTTAGTCAATTGACATTCTTGCATAATATCTGACGTGTTCTATTTCTTTAATTTCTCTAGTAAATGATCCTATTTTGAAGTTTCTCTTATGGACTCTTGTGTAGTGTCCCTGGTGACTTCCACACTAGACCAACTTAGGTAATATATCAAGTGGCAATGTATGTAGATTCTCTCCTGACCGACAGGACTAGTACAGCATTTCTGGAGACCTACTTGTGCAGTTTCTCTATAGCCTCCTTGGTGACGCTGCCGACCTCCCTCAACCGAGCGGCTGTCATCCTCCCTCCATACAGCTGCATGGCCTGGGGGTTCTCTGTGGTAATACAGTTTAACTTATAGGAAATATAGAGAAATTCATTTCTTTGCCAAACATGTTAAATTGTACTTAAAATTAATGGAAATATAAAATTGTGCCAAAAAGAAAAGAAATTACTAATTAACTCAACATATCACTCGAAATGCGTTTTCTTCCACTTACAAAATCAACTTTAATTTAGATACACACAATATCGTTGACATACATTAGTGCACTTACATTTCCATGCTTTAGTGACAACTTTCAAGTTAAACTATACAGTGATTAAGATTGTTTTTATGCTTTTCACACTAGAAATAAGGGTTTTAATTTCGCTACATATTCGTGACTATTATCCGCGGATTCTAAACACCAGCGAAATCATTGAAAATATTAACCACTTTTACTGACCTTATCACAACATGTTGAAAATACTTATAACCCAACGCTGTTATGCTTAAATGAACTCAAAGCAGATTATCACCGGACAACTGGGCAGTCCATGTAAAAACAACACTTACATATAAGTGGCCACAACATAATATTGTGCACACAGTAGGTGATTAATTGATTACAGTTTATGTGGGTGTGGAAATTCAACAGTCTTAACTGTTAAAATTTAATAACGTTCTAAATTATGAGTGCATTTAAATAAGTACACTTACAGTAACTAGCACTTTTGAGTAAGTGCAAAAAACACTTATAAATATTTATATAAATATCTAAAATATAAGTGTTTAAAGTATTTTCAACAAAGCCCCTAACATATACAATGGTTGCCATTGTAACAAATTCAACTTTGCATAATAAATTAGAGAAATTTGAATATCTAGTCATTTTGTTGTGTTTATGAATACCTTTTCTATTTTGACGACTTTATCAATGGGTAAAACACAAGCAACCTGTACAACAGGACTTAGGAGATAAAATACTCCCAAGCCTTTAGATCTCAAAGCCGAATCATTCTCTACTCTGTATTTTACCGGTATCCTAATTGATAATTGAGAGTAGGAGTTGTAACATTATCAGTATCCGTACCTGCATACAGTTGTTGGAGAATGTGGGGAGGTATGTTGGCGGTGTGGGGTAAAATGCTGGTCTGACGAAGTCCATCAGGATTGTGAGCGGCGTGGCCACCTCCTGGCTGTGCCGGAAGTCGAATCACCTTGACACCTTTAATTTGGGAACAACATAGATAGGTAAATTATTTTTGCACCTTATGCAGGGATATTCCACATGATATCCTGTGCTAGATTTTCTATCTCGTCGAATCTATCTGGCACCTTTCAGATGGCTAAGATTCTGTAACATCCAGACCTCGGTTTTTTCCTCGGTTAGGATTATGTTAAAGAGTCTTAGCCCTCGACTGAGATAACCCGGTTTTGTTCAGTTACAGGTAATAGATTTTTTTAATCATCTGACATCAACACAGGAAACCTCATACACAGTCCAATGACAGTAATGGAAACAGGTTCAATATCTGCATTTTTGTTTCACCCTTTTCAATATTTGACGAGAGGGCATTTAATTCAAACACAGGGAAAATATTCGTAGAATGGAAAGGAATTTGAATTAAATAAGAAGGAGAAAGGATTCCTATTTATAATTTTAATTTTCATGTCAATACTGTATAACATGAAATGTTAGTGTGTACGTTTTTTCGTGGTTTGGAGCTTTCAAATTATTTCATTGGTACAAACTTTCGTCGTTAGCCCGTACATCGTAATGTATTATTTTTCATTGTTAGTCACATACAATGACAAAGAGTCACACTTAAAACATTTATCACACAGGTAAAGTACGATGGGAGTATTGACATCATGCTAAGAAAAAACTGACCTGTTCTCGGGATAGCCTGTAGGCGTTTCGAGACAGATATTGTCACATTTAGCCTGAGATAATCTGATCTTAAAATCAAACACACTCAATATAGGTTCAGCAGCCAATCTACATTGAGTCTACCTGCAAAATTATATTACTACATGCAATACATATTTTCTGATTTTAAAAGGTGTTCGTAAATATACAATTTACACTGACAAGCATTGAAATCTTAACCAATCATCAAAAATTAATCAAACAGATCATGACTGGTACATGATATTATATGTTTTACCTCACTGTCAGGCAGTTTAATTAAGTTTTACCTGGAGGAAGTTGCTGGAGCTGTCCTGTACCACCATGTGTACCACCTGGCTGGGCGGGTAACTGAATCACTTTGATTTCTGGACGTTTTACTGTAACTGAATTTTTAAAGATTTAGTTAGAAAACATATTACATCAGATAAAAAACATCATAATTTGACAGAAAATTTTAAGAAATACATATATATATATATATTATCTGGACATTTATTTTAAGATGTTTAATTTTGATAACACTTTCAATATTATTTGACATGTATGTTCTCAAACAAATTATTTATCAAATATCATACAGATTATGTATATTTTAAAGATATTATAAAGATATCATACAGATTATGTATATTTTAAAGATATTATAAAGATATCATACAGATTATGTATATTTTAAAGATATTATAAAGATATCATACAGATTATGTATATTTTAAAGATATTATAAAGATATCATACAGATTATGTATATTTTAAAGATATTATAAAGATATCATACAGATTATGTATATTTTAAAGATATTATAAAGATATCATACAGATTATGTATATTTTAAAGATATTATAAAGATATCATACAGATTATGTATATTTTAAAGATATTATAAAGATATCATACAGATTATGTATATTTTAAAGATATTATAAAGATATCATACAGATTATGTATATTTTAAAGATATTATAAAGATATCATACAGATTATGTATATTTTCATATACAGATAGATGTTTGACCTTCCAAGTACACGTATCTGCATGAAAAGCTTATCTGCAAAAATCTCCTAACATTCCTTGAATATGTTACACAAGGGAGATAATTTAATGCTAATGAAATATTGCTATATAAATATAAATAATGAAATATAAAGATGGAAATGCTGCCAGTACACAGCTATACAAATTCCCATCTACCTATCATAATATACCTGTCTGATTTCTGCTTTTATGGTCCGCTATTTTTTTGTTGTAAACAGAGATGGCATTTTGAAGTTTTTCGACCTCTCCCATCAGTTTCTTACCACGGTCTGGTAGAGTAGACATTTTCACAGTTGCTATAATTTGCTAAAATGAAAAACACATGTACAAATTTGATTTTAAATAGAAATGGTATACTTATTACAAAGAAATGAGGTACAGCTGCATAATAATCATATCAATCACACTTTTCACTTACAATACTACTAGATAGATGTTTTAATTAAGAAGCCCTGTCCCACTGCACTGTGGTTTTTACTGCAAACAGTTACCTCCCCTTAACTTCCATTGTGATATAACTGTAGCACAGATAGCTCACCACTTCAATCCCGCGTCCATTGACCAGGTAGCTCAATCGGTTAGAGGGATAGTATATATTTACAATCTGAAGTCCAGGGTTCGAATCACAGTCTAGTCCTGCTTAATTTTCACTCTCAGAATAATATTGTTGATAATATTTCTATATTTCTTAAATCTATCAAATCTATATATAGTCAATACAAATGTAGTCATACCAGATAAATCAGTTTCCAACACTAAGCTACAGTTTGAGGCAGTGGTACCACGGGCCTTAATAGCACAGTTCATAGATTCCAAAGTTTGAAATACAAAATTTGTATTAGGATAAAACTATAATATTTCCAAATCAAGGTTAGTTAGTCTCACAGAATCTGAAATCAGTCCAACTCTAGGTCCCAGTGGTTTGAATAAAACGTTTTGATTCTATTATAAAAATGTATACATATTATTAGATATTGGGGCTTCATGATCAGGATAAATACATGTACTATATTTAATCAGCAATAAGCCCAAATATTGGGCAACACATAATCTCAGACTCAAAGTACAGAGGTGGCATGATCACTGAACAATGAAACAGCATTTGCTTTCATAAAAACCTTCCTAAACTTCAATATAAATACTTGTTGGTTTATTACCAACAAAGGCTAATTGATGGATAGATATATACTTTTAAGTATATCAGACTTATGAGGTTTTCGGTATTCTTATCAAGATTCAAAATTCTTCGGAAAAGCAAAATTTGGAGAATCATGGGATAAACCAGGTATTTCAGAGTGTGATAGTTTGAATAGGTCTGATAATGTCTGGTATTTTCACAGTCTTACTATGTAACAAGTATTACCTTCTGTTTCTGTAGACGGTTCAACAAACTATCTCTGACATCAACGTCTTGCTTCAGGCTTAACTGGCTTGCTGTTTGAAATCCTGTGTTGCTCATATTTTGAGATGTGTGTACGACGATGGGTTCAGGAACAGTGACCTTTGATTGCCCAGAGGTCATAGATGGTTTTGTCTGTAATGAGGCTGTAGTATTGCCAGACGGTTGAGACGGGTGCATAACGATAGACTGAGGAGCCTTGTCTTTGGCCTGAATAGGAACACTAGAATTACTTGAGATCAGAGATGGGCGGTCAGCGATAGACTGAGGAACTGTGACTATTGGCTTCCCAGATGTCGCTTCTGGTCTCGTCTGTGTCGGAAGTCCTACAGAATGTTTTCCACTTGCGTCGGTTTTGCTACTAATAGCGCCCTGTGGACTTTTAACACGTGATGTATCTTTTGTTTGATTCTGACTTCGGTCTGGACCTGGACCACTTGAAGAGTTTGTCGTTGACTCCGAAGTCCGTGGACTATGACCGATTCTGTCAGTATTCTCAGGTGACTGCGTAAACAAATCACCCTCGGCCAATCTTTCATCTACATCTTCATTCCCGCTGTCGCGATCGACATGAATATCACTGTCATTTTCATCGTCACTTGTAAGATCTATACAAGCTGCTGTAGACTCCCTGCGTCCACCCATTTTCAAATTGTTTAAGACAGATTTCTTCTCAGCACTATAGCCACTATCATCACTCACTGAAGAGTTTTTCTGCTGTCTACTTTGTTCTGATAACTTTGCAAAACTAAGTTCTGCAGGTGGTGGTGAAGTAACAGTGGTGTTCTTTTTCAGCTTCAATTTGTTTGAAGCTCTCGGAACGTCTCCCTGGTCTTTTTGACCAGGTTCCAGAACAAGTTTTTCCATTCTGTTGGCGATTTGGTCTGATGTGTTTGAGTTGCCATAATTCTCATTGTTTGGACTTCCTCTGTTGTCATGGTGTTTTCTGTGGTCATCTCTTTCTTTAGGACTTGTACGTTTTTCTGAAAATTTTGAAGGATTGTTCTGAAATGTAAAATATGCATAAGGAATGACAAAATTTCAAACAAATCAAAATATCAACATATTATCATAGACCAACAATGTTCATAATTTCTTAGCTATTCCTTACCTGTATATTTCAGATACCTACCCTAACTGCATCCTCGATATCCAGGGGTTACGCTCACTTTCGCTCTCTACACCCCTGGAATAAATCATAGCAAAATCGAACGCTCAGTGTGCATCACCTCGTGGATGAGACTAGAACTAGTTTAATCCTGTGATGTACATCAAGAGAATCTTCGGTCGTGTAACAGTAAAAAAAAAACAGCGTTGAAGTCGGGCGTCGTTCCTCTGTAATCTTCAAAGGACAAGTATCAGCCAAGTGATTGGTCAGGGTTTTTTCCCCTGACACCAATCAAATAGCTACCCATGTGCCTTCAATTTTGCTATGACATATTTCAGGGGTGCGTGCAGAGAGCGAAAGTGAGCGAAACCCTTGGATATCGAGGATGCCCTAACTTGTACCTCCGATCCTAAAATTTCTCATTCACTCGAATGTACTTTAATGTCCCAGTTGAATGTGCCAAAAATTGTCAATGTCTTTATTCCTTAGGCAGGTATATAAACCAAAACATAAACCCACATAATCATTTAAAACAGCTAAAAATTTAATGAAAATGAATACAATTGGTCTGAATAACTATGATTGGGGTTGTTTGTAATCCCTTGATAGATAAAAAAAAATAAAAAATATTGACCTACCCTATTTTTTAAGTCATTTTATCCGAAACATACATATTTTTTATGGCCTTTCCATTGCCCTCATTGAAAGTTGGTATCCAACACAAGAAAGCCTGCTTTTCATGAACAGAGTTGCCATTTTTAAGGAAAATATATTATTTTTTAAGTTACTATCTGTTACATTCATCAGATAACTTTTGATAATCAACCATATCTGTTTGCTAACTTTAGCAAGAACACTGATTTCACATGTACTGCTGTACTGTTCAAACAAAACCTGCCCTTACCTTAGAAGAAAAATAGCCACACCATGTCTGTGTTTCTGGTCGTCCCCGGCAACGGAAATATTTTCTGTAATATATCATTTTGATACAGTAATATAATAGTGTGTTGTAAGTCAATACATGCCATCATTCAGGTAGCGATGGGCAGGTGAACGAATATCATTCAAAATTAATTTGCTTTCAAAACAGTGTGAAACGTACGTGTGCAGATGGACTAGTGTTTCTAAAAACTGCAAGCCTGATGATTGACTATACAAAATTTGATATTACTTGTCGTGTTGAATAATATTGGGTTTTGCGGAATTGTGGAAATTCCAAATAGACTAGTAGAATTTGAAGTGGAATCTGCTAGCCTGATTGACAAGTAGTTTTTTAAATTAATTTCTAGCCCTAGGCCTGCTTTCCATTTCCGATTCTGATTACAAATTCCAAACCAGTAATTGATATAAAATTCTGAATTCAAATTTCAATTGTATACAATGTACAGTAAGCATTGAAAATAATTTGTTTCGTTCCTTTTTATTATTTGATTGATGTCAGTGTTGAAAAAAAATAACATTACAGATTTCCATAAAATGGGTTTTTAAGAAAAAAAATAAGTTTATAGTACGCAACTCTGTCAATTGATATTACAATTGTGTTTGTATTTCATTTAGGTATTCAGTCCCATGAAATTGTAATTACATTTAAACTGATTTTCATTATGCAATCGATTATCAATTGGTTTCCGATTCCGTACTTGAAATATGTACCAATTTGAGTACAAAATAGTTAAGTATAACGTTAACTTAAGTTTGATAGGACCATGAGCTGATAATTCCAAGACCGAGTTTCAGTTTAATCGGACTATTGGAACTTGTTTTAAGTTTGAAATAGTTTTTTCAAAATGGCGGCCATGTCGGCCATATTGGATTTCTGATCAACCCGAAAAATACAACACTTTGTCAGGTCCATGTGTCGATCATTCCTACAAAGTTTCAGTTCAATCGGCCCAGTAAAACTTGACTTTAGGTTTGAAATAGTTTTTCAAAATGGCGGCCATATTGGATTTCTGATTGACCCAAAAAATAACAACACTTTGTCAGGACCATGAGTCGATCATTCCTACAAAGTTTCAGTTCAATTGGCACAACAGAACTTGACTTTAAGTTTGAAATAGTTTTTCAAAATGGCGGGGGTGGGGGCCATATTTGATTTCTGATCAACCCAAAAAATAACAACACTTGGTCAGGGAGATGTCAGTAACCTTCCTATGAAATATTAATGAAATCCCATTGCCAGTATTTCAACTTAAATTGAAAATGTAAAATGTTAATGGACGACGACGGATGAAGACGGATAGCAATAGGTCACTTGAGCTAAAGCTCAGGTGACCTAAAAAGGAGTACCCGGTACATCTCCTGGATATGAGAATTTTATTTTCAAATACTTATACAATTTATAAACACATTTGTTTTCTATTGGATTGCAATCGTGAGTTCACAGTACAAGTTTGGATGTAAGAACTGACATTCGTGTATCAGGTTGAAACAGTTGAACCTGTAAAGAAAACGACAGGCACAGATCTGAACCGAGGCTGACCTCAGGAAAATTCGGCATGTGTAGATTGAGGGTCCAGAAGTACCTGACCGAAACTAAAATGCTGACTATTGCTAATTTGAGTTTTTTCTTTCTAAAACAATGTCAAGCCATGCATATGTAGTTTAAATTATTTGTAAGAGACGTTATGTAATTCAGTGGACGCATGAAAGAAGGGCATAATATTCTTGATACATTGTTTTATATTCTCCGAACTATGCATTTTAATTAGCTCTGCTTATATAAGAACGGTTCAAGTGCATTTGTTTATCGTGGAATATTTCTGTGCCACACGTACCGTTTCAACCGGAATACGCGATGTAGCCCTGGTATTTGCAGGGCTGTTTATGATCATGACCTTCCATAAAACATACAATATTGATCCTCACCTATGTTCACCGGAGATCTTGCCATATGCCAAAGACTGCAGTTCCATTGTGTTACCAGGGTGGTTGGGACAAGTCTGTGGAGCTAGACTGGAAGAAAATAAAGAAATATATACAATGTAATATTTTATAAACAAGAGGTCCAGAGGGCCCGTATCGCTCACCTGATTTTTTTTTAAATAATTGGTATGAAGTAAAGATATACAATGTAATATTTTATGAAAAATCCTTTAACAGTGGTTCTTTGAAAATTGCCTTAAAATGTTTAGGGTACTCTGGAAACCAATATGTCTGCAACTAAGATGATTGGTAAAAAAAAAGAGGCTCTTTATATAACTACGGTACATACAAGGTCATTGGTGATGTCTATATACTGTACTCTGTATGTATAAGGTAATGCTTTAAATAGGATTTTATCTTACTCTGTCTTTTGAGCATAGCCACACGAGTCTTCTCTGCTACACACATAGAAACTCATTCCATGGGTAGTACCAGGTTTGGTTCCCGTCTTCAGCATGCATGGTTGACCTGTGTGGGTTTTCAGAAAATAAAATTCAGCAGAATTAATGTTAAACAAATCAATTGATTAATGACTATAAATGAATGCCAACCAAAATCAGTTAAATTATCTCTTAACCATTTTTTAAATCTTTTGTATCATTAGCATTTAGCTGCAGGGTAAAATAATATATCGAAATTCTGCATTTTACTAAATATATTAATTTGGCTATGTAGAACAACTGGTCTAAAGTGCCGGCGATTTCATTCATTGGCACTTCCACCCTTAAAAAATAAAGATAATTAACATGATGAGCAATATGCTACTGAACTTAAAATATATTTAGACATTGATGCACAACCCGTACAGGATCGGGAAATATAGGCTTGTAGAATTGGGGGTTTATTCTGTGTCCTCTTTAAAGGGGAAATGGAAAAGACCAAAATTTATTTCCTGCCCCCATTCCAACTCTTGTGACCCTTTTCGTTTCTTTATCTTTCCTCTCTTCTTTCTACTTTCTGTTTCAGGTGTTGTATCCCTACTAGGCACCTGTCCGCATATGACCCTCGCTGTTGCAAAGACGTTAAACCCCAAACAAACAAACATTGATGCACAAGATGAACATCTAAACAAGATATTTTATTTACCAATCAAGGGTCTATGTTTATCATAACTTGTGGTTGAACAGTTTCCATTTTGGATGGATGTTTTGGGATTCCGCATTTAGAGTCTTTTTAAAATTGAACAGAAGTCATCAAAACATGTACATCCCAAAACTGTTCAACCATAAGATGTTTATCATAAACATTAGATAAAACTAAAAAAACTAAAAGACCTTTATATATAGTTTTTTTCCAATGATATAAAAAGTGAAATACCAAATCTCACTTTTTATTAAAAAAAGATAAGATCAGTTTTATTTAAAGTCGGCAAGTCATGGAAATACAATAAAATATGATCACTAATATAATTAATAAGCTTATAATTAATTTTATGACTGGCATATTGTCGTGAGAGCATCCAAAGTAATACTATATCTCACAACTATGAGATCAGCATGTGGGCTATTAGCCTGAGTTTCCTCTGGCCCCGACACCAGACTTAGAGAATACCAACTTAGACATTTTGACGGATAGACGACATCGGGCCAGAGGAAACTTGAGCTAGTGGGCTATCAGTAAATTTTTCAGTAGATGCGTCAATAGTTATCGCAGACTAATGGTATGACGTCGACAACAGTTAGATAAATTCAACTGCATAACCTACAAAGCAAAGTTAACACTTTAATTCGGTGTGAGGTCGTTTCGGTAACAAGTCGTTTCCAGACTTTTTTCGGTTGGTTCGGGACATGTCAAAAATAGTTTCTGGATTTTTCAAAAAAAAATATCTTCTGTAGATACCACTGTCTTTTTTCCTTTTTTTTTAAATCATATTTTAATGTCAACTAAGTTTAGACAATCGATTGGATAAAAATTATTACAACTTAGCATAGCCTTCTCCCTGAGCACAGGGGCTTGTATAGACTTATATGGTTATATTAGCATGAAATACCTATATATAAAGTCTTTATATATAGGTATGTCAAGCTAATTTATCATATAAGTCTATATTAGTATATAAAATTATACATATAGTATTCACACCTGAAGCCTTTAAGGCCAGGATTGTGTCATTGTAGACCATGGTCTAAACTGTAAAACAGTTTTTAATTGTACATGCAAACATCTAATTATTAAGTCCCTATTCCCCCAACATTTTCCTGGGCTTGCCGCGCCTTAGTTATAAATATTGCATGATCTTCATCATGGTGAAGGAGGCAATTATATGGCAGAAACAGAAACAAGCCCCTGTGGTTTGAGCAACGATTACTGCCACAGAATACTGCTAATTTGCTTAATGCTCGCTAGAAAACAATAGACCGGTTGAACTGTCCCTTATACGAGCAAATCTGGTCAAGTCTGTCTGATTGTCAGATCGTTCGGAACAGGAAATACACACAACCTACTGATACTACTATAGACTTGTGTAGTGATAGAATTTCAGAGGCTTGCATTGGGGATAATATTCGAAGTTCGAATTTTTGGTGAATTGTTGAATGATATAATAAAAGTGCAGTTGGCGGTTGTGACAAACACCTCATTTTAAGTCAATCTTACCATGCTTTTCACAACGAATTTCTTCCATGATCACAAATCTATATTTACACTATGATGAAAAAAAAAGAGATGATGCATTTTGACCGACTTCCGGCAATACAAACATGGCGCGTAAAGTAAAGTGAAAAGTCTGTCCAATGAAAATATTGGTAACAAGCAAATGAACCAATCAAAACTGTCGTCTCAATAATAGCCGTAAATGGTTCCCGTAGCAGATTTTTGCTTGCGTATAATTATTCAGGCTCCAAATACTTAAAGGTCCCGATGCGTTCATTTATCCAATTATTTACATTGTATACGTCGTTGTTACCAATAATGACATGACACGACGGGAGAGAGAGAATATGTTACTTATATTGGGTGCACACTAAAATTATTTTTTTGTCCATAAAATATTGCATTTTTGTAAAACGAATTGTATTTATTTTAGCAGAGACGTTATAATATACCACGGACTTAGATAATCTAATTCCGTGATAATAACGTCACGCTACCACAATTGGTACACTACCCAAATTGGTACACGGTCAGAAAATTGTTCGAATAGTACTTTAAAATTAAATTTGAGCATTTTCCTTTGACAGTATAACAAAATAGATATTTATCAGCATTTCTGCAGAATAGTTTTGTTTTCGGGAACATTTTAAGAGTACACGATGACGTCAAAGTAAACATATCAGAAAACCAGTAAAAACGACATACGTCGACGAAATTTTGGAGGATTTTCAAGGGGTTAAATATAAGCATGTTTAAATGTTGATTTCTGGTCCTTATATTCGGATAATATAAAAGTGAATATATACAATTATAGTTCAGTATGGTATCTATAAAAGCAATTTATTTTGTTGTAATCGGCACATCAACTTGTAGAAATAAAAACAATTTCCATAGCCTGTGATATGGTGTACCAATTTGGGTACTATTTACGGCCGAAAAACGGACGAAATCTCACTCCGAGTTTAGCGTTCTATTTTCAAAAATAAATTACTTGGATATAAATCTTTTCCTGAAAATGAACCACCATAGGTAGTCTTTGTCAAGAATCAAGAAACATTACAGATACAAGATCTGAATTTTTAAAGATCACTAAAAAAAACTGTCAAAATTGTACCAATTGTGGTAGCGTGACGTATTATACGTCTCTGATTTTAGGTAATGTAGCAATTCAGAAAAAAAGTTTACGGCAAGACTAGGATTCGATCCCAGTGGGTTTTCCTTTCTATATTTCTTCATCCCAGAAGACAACATGTAAATTATTCAACAACTCAGGTTCAATCGTTATCCCCTTTCGAAGCCTATAAGAATTGGCCACATGCACCACTGTAACAGGAGCGGAATACATTGCCAGACCCAGATTCGAACCCAGGACCCTCCGAACTCTAGACGTGCCTAGAATGCTGGAAAACATTCACGTGGTAACGGCGTTTTTTGCTGTTATTGGATTAACATTTTGATTGGTGGGTTTATCCACGGAATTAGATTAGATCTAAGTCCGTGGTTTATCTAAGGAAGAGATAGAGCTTCATCTTGGCAGAGCAAGAAACGTTACCACGTGAATGTTTTCCAATCGGAATTAAACTGTTCGGGTCTTTCCGTCAATCAGTTTGAGTAATCGGGAACCAATCATGACTTGACTTCAAATTTAAATTATGACGGAAGTTTTCGAATGGTTTCCTATTAACGTTTGCCGCCTGACGGAACCGGTAACAGGAAAGAAGTTGTTGACCGCCAATTTATTTAAAATGTATTTTAACCGCAAAATTTAAACTAACATGATACTCACAATAGGCTGCTACAGTATTGACGTCATTTCCGCAGGAAAAAAAGTTTCTCAATAAAATGTTAAACTTTGACGAAAAAATGTTGTTTTTTTTTACTAATTAACTCGTTTCTCAAGAAATCAATATGTAATTATAATATTAAACAAAGACAAAGCAAATTAACACCACATGCAACAGGAAAATAACGTAAAGCAACATACTTTTGGTACATATGTACGTGTCATATGTATAATTGAGTTCTGTATGTTTAAAGTTTGGCTGAAAAAATGGTTCAATGTACATTATAAACTTCAATAGTTATAATGAACGCGGGGCTGGACATTGATATCGAGTTTTATGACGAAGACATGTGACACATAAGTAATATTATTTGGCGGTTACATTGAATGATATAGTCTCATATCAGATGTAAAGTAACATAGGGGATTTTCGTCAAACGATATGACGGCACTGTATTAATTGTGACATCATAATCAGAAGGCCGATAAGTCAATAATAAATGTATACTACCGAAACAGGACTGAGAGGGATATTTCAGATTAAAACAAAGAAGGTTAATGGTTTTATATGTTGAAATTCAAATAGTTAAATGCAAAACATTGTAAATATAACCGATAAAGTGTTGCTATTTTTTGTGCTTGAACCTCACACAAAATACACATTTTTTATGATTATGTTGTGAATCAGCATTGAATATTCTGTAGAAAGGATCACATTGAACTAACGAGTTCCAAAATTAGGTGTACTTAAAGAATATTATTAATCGTATTTCAGTAGAGAACATTTGGCGAACCTCCATTGAATATCATATTTATTTCAGGAATATGGATTAATTTCGACTACTTAAATTTATATCATTTTATCCATTTATGTTTTGTTATTGTTTCCATGTACTTTTCATTTCGGGTTGTGAGGTAATCTCCATGCGGGTGGCAAGGTGGCGCAATTGGATATAATGCACTCGTCTTTCACCAAGGCGAAGGGGCGCGGTTCTATTCTATTCATCGATTGGACGTGAAAAGGAATGGGGGTCACCTGCCCGACCACGTTGATTTTCTCCGGGTACTCCGTTTAGCAGCTCCCACTTTATGAACCGCGCGCGCTAACATCCGGGCCAACAAGCTTTGTATAAAGAAAACAGAGTAAAACCTGTCTTTTTATATAAATAATATTAAATTGTGTACTTCGCTTAGTAGTTTATGATTTACATAAACCTTCGAGATTTGTCAATGTTTATAGACATTTTTCAAGATTTTTTGTTTATATCTTTCCTTTTTTTATGATTGGTATGGACCGTCCCCAAATTAATAATAATAAAGAAGACATTAATAAAAAAAAATGTACATATATGCTACGCCACTGCTTGAATTATTGTAAAATAGTTGATATTCATATTTATGCCGGTAAAGGATCGAGGGGCGTGTTAAACATATTGAAATAACTTATACGCAATTCATTTTTATATTTTTTTTGTTCAAATGAAAATAATTCTGATATATGTAGGATTGAAAGTTCGAAAATACACAGGCATATTATAAAAGTTATATTTAAGATATATGTTGGTGTCTAAATACAAATATATCGTTGAAGAGCCATGAAGAGGTTCTGAATCGGTAGACCAATGGCAAGAACGGTGACTGGATTCATTTATTTAGCTGTTTACTCACATATTATTATCCAACCCTTTTCACGGAAGATAGACTGAAAATAAAATTCAAAAAATAGGACACAATCCGGATAATTTATCACGTCATTACATTCTGGTGGTATTAGGAACGACTGACGATAATGAAAACCGGAAGTTGCATGTTGGAACAAGAAGGTGAGTAATATTCTGTGATAATCAGTGTGAGTTAGGGAACAAGCGTTTATGAAGCTATTTCACGATAAGGAATATTTAATTTACCTTACAGAATATTGATTGACTTCAAATCTGTGTGAAGTGTTCGCAGAAATCAAAAATTGAATTGAGTGACGATTTTCTAAATTCTACTTTCAGTTTGATCAGATCACAGGGTCACGTTACAATCACACATATGCTATACTGATATGGGTCACAACACACATAAACATATGTGTATGTGTGTTGTGACCCATATCAGTATAGCATATGTGTGATTGTGTGTGTGTAACGTTAAAGTGACACTGTGATCAGATAGAGGTGGGTATTGCACACAATTTTCATCATGCAATATAATTCAGGGAGTATTACAATATATCACCATGTTTTATTCCGATCTATTCAGCACATTTAAAACCGTTTTCTAATGAACGATCGAAAATAAAGCATCACTTAGCAAGTTTCAAAAATATTCTACCCCGGGCGGGAGTCATCAGCTACATTGTAGCTAATTATCATATTGGAAGCTATCACACTTAGCCAACTTGATTAAGATAGTATTTATTCAATTTCGATATTATTTCCTTAAAACTATATCATGTAATTGTGCGTAAAACATGACTGTGAAAGACTGGCCATTGACAGGTTTGCTATTATAAATCATATATATCATATATATATTATGTCAAATTAAATATTGAAGTTTCTTGTTTTATACCTAACTGCAGTTCCTGCGTATTTTTAACTCCTTTCAGTGAGTGAAGAGTAGATATTATAATAAATGGGGAGCATGAGTACTGGGGATGTTGGTGTGCACAGTCAGTCGCAGACTCAGGATGAAAATGAGGTCCCAAACATGACAGGCAGAGGAGCAGGAGGCGGTGCCAGGGAAAAAACGGGACATTCAAGGGCTGTCAAGGATGGAGCCAGTGATAACGTATACAGAAAACTTTCTGTTATCAACGGAGAGATCAACAAAATGAGCAGACAACAACTACAGGAGCGTCTTGCAGACCTGAAAAAGGACACAAGGTAATCAAGTTAGAAATAACTATCTCCTCGTTAAAAGCTTTGATGGGGCAGCGATTGTTAGAATGACGTCCTATCAGTGGTTTTTCTTATGTATATATGCAGCAATGTTTTTAGCTGAGTGTCACAACCGAAGACAGACTGATTTGAGTTCAAAAAGTGCTAAATTTTCCCAAATAAAGTTAAAAATGAGGAATTTTTATCTTCCCAATTTCAATAAAAATATTGCTATATTTTCCCAAATCATGAAGAAACAGGCTGTTGTAAAATTGAAGTAGGAAAAACACTGATATGCAGTAATACTACTGGAAGGTGTTTCGTATAAACACTGATATGCAGTAATACTATACTGGAAGGTGTTTCGTATAAACACTGATATGCAGTAATACTACTGGAAGGTGTTTCATATAAACACTGATATGCAGTAATACTACTGGAAGGTGTTTCGTGTAAACACTGATATGCAGTAATACTGCTGGAAGGTGTTTCGTATAAACACTGATATGCAGTAATACTACTGGAAGGTGTTTCGTATAAACACTGATATGCAGTAATACTACTGGAAGGTGTTTCGTGTAAACACTGATATGCAGTAATACTACTGGAAGTTGTTTCTTATAAACACTGTTTATGTAACACATTCATAATATTTCAACAATGACAATGTACCAGCAATTCCCTACAAGGTCACATCATTGATACTTCATGGGTTACGCTCACATAAGCTCTCTGCACACCTGGAATATGTCATAGCAAAATTGAAGACTCGGTGTGCGCCACCTTGTTGATGAGACAAGAAGACTAGTTTGATCCCTTGATATGCATAAAAAAAAATCTCTGTCGTGAAACGGTAAAAATTGACAGGCTCTGAAGTTGGGTGTCACTCCTCTGTAATCTTCAAAGGACAGGTATCAGCCTAGCGATAGGTCAGTTTTATTTACCAGAGACCCATCAAACAGCTACCTTTGTGCCTTTCATTTTGCTATGACATATATTCTGGGGTTGCAGAGAGCATAAGTGAGTGTAACCCCATAAGGAAGACAAGATCATGAAGTAGTTATATAGATAGACAGTTTTTAAGCAGAGTTTCTATTCCCAGGGGTGTAAATGATGTTCTGAAGAAGAGGCTAAAGTTATACTACAGGCAACGAAAACTGATGAAGGCAAATGTATGCGTCCCGAGCACAAAACCAATGTATGACTTCCTTCTTGTGATCGACTTTGAGGCTACCTGTGAGGCTGATACGACCAATTACCCCCACGAAATCATAGAATTTCCAATCATCCTTGTAGACGTTCATCAAAACAGTGTGGTAAGGAAGAATAAAAAGGAAGTCTGTCTCTTCTTTCATTCCCTACATGGTTGTTCTACCTTACATGTGAATCATTTTGATTTTTTTCCTTTGAAAAGTTTACAAAGGCCTTGAAAAACAAGGGCCACTGGTCCAAACAGATGAACCGGTTGGACTAGAGTTGTTTGTTTAAGGTCGGACCTGGTAATCTGAAGCTGCTTTGAGGCGAGCCTTGAGAAAGCCATGCAAGGCCCCACACAAACATTTCCAGGTCCGCCATAATTAATATCCAAAAATGTTCCATTTAAAAACAGACAAACCAGTTGAACTTGATATGTGAAATTGGCCAAGGTGTATTTCACACAGATCTGTTTGTTAAATATTTGCATGACACCACATAGATTTCAATGTGTAAGAGTAGTTTATAATTTCTCTAGAGGAGAGTTTCTAAACGAATTTAAGAGTTTGGAAACAAAAGGCATACACAGGCTACATTCGCGTATCCCGGTTGAAACGGTACGTGTGGCGCAGAAATTTTCCACGATAAACGAACACACTTGGACCGTTCTATAAGCAGAGCTAAAAATCCACAGTTTCGGAGAATAAAAAACAATGTATCAAGAATATCATGCCCTTCTCTCACGCGTCCACTAAATTACATAACAGATCTTAAAAATTACATGTGACTTGACATTGTTTAAGAAAGAAATAACGCAAATTGGCAATAGTCAGCATTTTAGTTTCGGTCAAGTACGTCTGGACCCCTCAATCTACACGTACCAAATTTTCCTGAGGTCAGCCTCGGTCCAAATCTGTACCTGTCGTTTTCTTTACAGGTTCAACCGGTTCAACCGTTTCAACCGGATACGCGAATGTAGCCACAGTGTCTTTGGAATGATGAGATTCACATTGTTATTACCGACACATCGCTTTGGCAATATATATATATTTATTTAGTAGGATTAAGCAGTCGGATATACAATCACAGCTGTACTTGGATGGCAAGCATAGAGGGAAAGAATTCATCTGAATCTCTGCATATGAAATACTGTTTTTATGTTCACAAACAATTCAAGAGAGATAACTCTTTGTTCTATTTTAGGTGGATGAGTTTCATTCCTTCTGTAGGCCTGTGCTGAATCCACAGTTGTCAGAATTCTGCACAGAACTCACAGGAATTACACAGGTAAACAAAATTAATGAAAATGTAATATGAGGAAGATGTAATTATATTGAAACAAAAACGCACTACTAACACCATACATGTATTAACATGTATAATTTACCTACCAACCCCTGAAGTAGGGGAGTCATGACCCCCATAATCTATTTGAAAATTCTTTGCCGAGTGATAAATGCGAATGTGCCAAATTTAATCATTTTGCGTCGTCAGAGCGTAACGTACGTTGTGACGACTGATAAGATTTAGAACTTTTTTTTAAGTAATTAAAGGAATCTTTTCGCACACATTTTGTTATATTACATTCTTTCTTTTCAAAACTAATTTCCCTGCTGGACGTAGTTTGAGTTTGTTGTAGCGAACTTGACATCTTACATCATTGATTCATACTGAAAGCACAAATCAATCTAGACTATATCTCAACAGTAATGTAATCTTCACTACATATTGTGTATACTGTATACCCGAAAAAAGGAAAAGGGAAAGAAGAGTGAAAAAACAATGAAATGCTCATAAAAGTTTGGTCACACATTTTTTTCAGTTAAACATGTTAAAAATTATTTTATATTTTTTCGCATAATGAACTTCTTGATCCATATTTAAAAAAATATTTATTTTTAATCAATGAATATTGCCTTTTGATGATTTATGATTAAAATAAAAAATAAAAATGTTTTCAAATGTAGACAGATGTTGATGCTTCTGAAGAGTTCCCTGCCGTATTTCAGAGAGTGGAGGAGTGGATGAGGGAAAAACACCTCGGGGAGGGCAATAAATTTGCTGTCGTTACAGATGGGTAAATATCTTGAGATATATCTAAGTGTGACATATATCTAAACTAGACGCTGGCTACGTAATATTGAAAGCTGTAGACCAAACCAGATCTGAATCTATTTAATTTTTACTGTATTATTTGTAAATTGGGATTGGGGTGGTTTCTTCAGTACTCTAGTCCATTTCTCTTTGTCTGGTTACTTGTGAGTATATAGGATGATTGATGATGTAAAGGTTATATTGGGTCAGAGAATGAACCACAAAGCCTGCCTTTTCGGATCGGGTAACATTTGCCTACCATGATAGAGAATTGAAAAAAAATTAAAAAAAATTGTCTCGGATGTCATCGCAGGACTAGAAATTTATCTTGAATGCCTCTTGTCCATTGAGATTGTAGTTTCCAATTTTTAATAGACCATGAGTGAATTACACAAACCCGATATTATTCAATGTGTTAAAAGTATTATCAAATTTTGACTAGTCAATTGGACTAGCGGTTTTTAGTACCACTTGTCCTGCTGAGTATAAATGTGTAACCATCAACAATTGGAAGAAAAGAAAAAGAAGAAAAAAAGGCCTTGTAGAATAGTCTTGATAAATAAGCTATCAACTAAAGACTGAAATACATAATTTGTAATATCATTTTAGTCATACAAATATTTACTTTTGAGAAAAAACTTACAAAGGTGCCATAGTATTAAATGTATGCAATATGTATGGACATTGATCTGCCTTTCTCCTGTCTACCACATGTATGCTTGTGGTGCGATCTTGACCTGATTCTCTTGTTTTGTCTTCCAAAGGCCCTGGGATGTAAGCCGCTTCCTCTGTCTCCAATGCCAGCACTCGGACCACTTGTTTCCTCGATGGGCCAAAAAATGGATCAATATCAGGAAAACGTATGGATCCTTTTATAAGTGTGGCCGTAAAAAACTGGAAGAAATGCTGATATACCTGGGGATGAAATTTGAAGGCAAACAACATAGTGGACGCGACGATTCCAGAAATATAGCTCGAATAGCTATTAGACTTATAGAAGACGGTTGTAAGGTGAAAGTTAACGACTTTATTCACAATTATCCTGGTTTCAAATTTCTAAAATTTTCAAACCTAGATGCAGAGTTAACAGACAGTGATGCTGAGGATGTTGACGACAAACTTACTGAAGAAAGTAAGGACGTAAAAAAGAAAGGGGTCAAAGTTCAGAGAAGCGCACATGTGGATGACCGGGACGTTAGTTCAGCGATGACCAGGCTGTGTATAAATGATAAGAGAGAGGAGAGCGAGGAGGACGTGTCGGATCTGATGACATATTACAAGATCCAGAAGTCTTGACCAACATGTCTGTGATTGCCGGCTCCTTTAACCTCTTAGGACTTAACCTCTTCGGACTTAACCTCTTAGGACTTAACCTTAGGAAATCTTTGGACTTAGGAACATTGATGTACAAACAATTCATGTTGTTTTCTTTAAGGCCACACAAAGTAATTCCTCTTTTTTCTCTCCCAATATCTTACACTATTTATCACACTGCAGTTCAGCCAAACTGATTATGACATAAAATTACTGAAAAAAATATTCCAGACAAAACTCTGCTATTTCCTTTTTTATTGCACTCTGTTTCTATTGAAATAATTTTTGGAGCTTTTTTAAGCAGATAATCAGAATTATTCAAAGTTAAAAAAGTTGGATTTTTCTATTGATGCAGAAGTGTAAGAAGAAAGTAAATGCAAATTACAGACTTTTTACAGCTGCTGAAAAGGAACATTAAACCAGAAATTTGTAATTGGTATAGTGACTTATAAGAAGCCCTTCAGACTTCTTTGGCTATAATCGATTTAAAGAGGATATTCACACCTTAGATTGTTTCTACATGTATTGCCCAAAAACTATGTTCATATTCTTTGGACATTATGCTTTGTTATGTATTGGACGAAAAACTTTTCCTTCTTTTACGTAATTGTCAAATTGCATACACTCAGAGAAGAAAACACAATGTAGTGCGATTTACCTTGCATAGAAGAGGAACATAAACGAATGTGTTGCCGCAACAAGGAATTTAAAATAAAATATTACTGCTCCATCGTCTGATTAAGACATCTGTTCAATAAATATCGGATTGCAAACCAAACCAAACTAAAAACATATCGCACTATTTCTTTCAATAAAATATCCAAAGAAGAAGACATTTATTTAGTGTCGCATAAACCATATATCTGTCTGAATGACCTTTGTTGCTGTGACAATACCTGACAATGATGCCACTTTTGAGAATGTACTGTTTATTTAATTTGGAAACCTTTTAGTAATGTACTGACTCTATATGAGGTCACTCGTTATGTCATTCTCCTGTGAAGTAAGTGACCCCTTAGCTCTAAAGCAGCTTTAGCCTATACTTGACAAACATCATTGAGATTCAGACAAGTTCGAAAGATAGAAAGGCTAAGTTTGTTTATTGTTGAAAACTTCTTTTGCAAGCTTTCAAAAACGTTTGTTTCCTTTGTCAAGCAACGAATATAAATGATTGTAGTCCTGACTCTACACCGCAGAAAACGACTCACTAAGCCACCGTGTGCTGGATCTGTTAAGTCAGCTGTCAAACTTCATAGAGACATCTTGCCCAATTGCACTCTTATACTGCTGGCAGTCAGCTGGGGCACGAGTGACATGCTTACCCATTCCGCCCTTCAGTGGATGTTAAAATGAGGTCATAAAGATGACTCAGCTGGTGGCCCCCTTCGTCTCAGTTCATCGAAGCGGCGGAATGTTACATGTTACCCGTCCCCCTGACTGCCTGCAGTAAGGGGGGCAAAGGAAACTTAAGTTTTCGAAAGCTTGCAAAAAGCCTTTACTATTCATACCAAACTGATGAAGAATCTTATTCCGAAGACTGGAAGAGTTGCGCCCCTTCCACTGATGCTCTGTAACAATCAATGTAGGCCTAACTGAAGAAATTTACATGGACATGCAGCTATAGATTACCTGTTACAGCTGTCACATACCATTATTAATAATGAAATATATCTATTTAGGTTTAAATTTTAAAAAAGGATAGAAATATCAAGATGAAAGAATGATAAAAGGCTGGTGAAATCACCTGAAATGATTATTTTCTGATTGAATTGTGGAGTGCAATATCATGAAAACTGTTAAATCCACTAATTTACTTCAGCTTATTTAAACCATTTCATAACGTTTTTGCGTCATCTTCAAATAGACTTAATTGTATATTGTTTTCTTATATGATGTATTATGATTAATTCAATAAACGTATTGAATAAAAAATAACTGTCATTACATGTATTGTGTATAATGGACAGTAATGGGTGCAACTCACCTACGCTTCAGACCACACCCCTATATATTTATTTTATGAAAATTTGTTATGTGTCCCCAATTCCCATTCAGGGTGGCCACAGGGCTAGAAAATAAGGGTATTCTGATAGTCTGTGACCAGTGAAATCTCAAGCTGGACTACTGGTTTCAAAAACCACTAGCCCTATAGATTTATCACAATTTAACATTGCTTATCTTTTGTTGAATACTATTAGGTAAGTTGAAGGTGTACATGGACTAGTAAAACTTGGAAACTACTATCTCAAATTGACTTATATTATCATCTTCAAAATTAATTTCTAACCCTGGATGGGGTGGGATGCAAAAAAAGTTCTGTAAGGTATTTCCCTTCCTTTAACAAAACCTGCATCTGCTACCTATATTGAGCACATAAGCAAACTAGAGATTTGATTGACAACCAAATTAAAGAAAGTACTGATAACTTAACTCTAGACAATTTAAAAATCTAAGTAAAGACGTTTTTGACAACCAAATTAAAGACATTATTCACAAACAAAATTAAAACATTGACAAGCGAAGACAGACTGGACAACATACTTAAGACCAAAAAAACAACCAAGTGATACACATAATTGACAACTGAACCGTAGTCAGAATTGACAACTGAACCTTAGACAGATTGACAACTGAACGTTAGACAGAATTGACAACTGAACCTTAGACAGAATTGACGATGGAACCTTAGACAGAATTGACGATGGAACCTTAGACAGAATTGTCAACTGAACCTTAGACATAATTGACAACTGAACCTTAGATAGAATTGACAACTGAACCATAGACAGAATTGACAACTGAACCTTAGACGTCATTGACAACAATAATAAAGACAGGAATGACAAACAATCTATAAACAGAATTGATAACTGAACCTTGGACAGAATTGACAACAATGATAAAGACAGGAATGACAAACAATCTATAAACAGAATTGATAACTGAACCTTGGACAGAATTGGCAACAATGATAAAGACAGGAATGACAAAGAATCTATAAACAGAATTGACAACTGAACCATAGACAGAATTGACAACTGAACCTTTGACGGAATCAACAACAATGATTTAGACAGGAATGACAAACAATCTAGAAACAGAATTGACAACTGAACCTTAGACAGAATTGACAACAATAATAAAGACAAGAATGCCAAACAATCTATAAACAGAATTGACAACTGAACCTTAGACAGAATTGACAACTGAACCATAGACAGAATTGACAACTGAACCATAGACAGAATTGACAACTGAACCTTTGACGGAATCAACTACAATGATTTAGACAGGAATGACAAACAATCTATAAACAGAATTTACAACTGAACCATAGACAGAATTGACAACTGAACCTTAGACAGAATTGACAACTGAACCTTAGACGTAATTGACAACTGAACCTTAGAAAGAATTGACAACAATAATAAAGACAGGAATGACAAACAATCTATAAACAGAATTTACAACTGAACCATAGACAGAATTGACAACTGAACCTTAGACAGAATCAACAACAATGATAAAGACAGGAATGACAAACAATCTAGAAACAAAATTGACAACTGAACCTTAGACAGAATCGACAACTGAACCTTAGACAGAATTGACAACTGAACCATAGACAGAATTGACAACTGAACCATAGACAGAATTGACAACTGAACCTTAGACAGAATTGACAACTGAACCTTAGACAGAATTGACAACTGAACCATAGACAGAATTGACAACTGAACCATAGACAGAATTGACAACTGAACCTTAGACAGAATTGACAACTGAACCTTAGACAGAATTGACAACTGAACCATAGACAGAATTGACAACTGAACCATAGACAGAATTGACAACTGAACCTTAGACAGAATCGACAACAATTATAAAGACATCAATGCCAAACAATCTATAAACAGAATTGACAACTGAACCTTAGACAGAATTGACAACTGAACCATAGACAGAATTAACAACTGAACCTTAGACGTCATTGACAACTGAAACTTAGACAGAATTGACAACTGAACCTTAGACGTAATTGACAACTGAACCTTAGAAAGAATTGACAACAATAATAAAGACAGGAATGACAAAACAACCTATAAACAGAATTGACAACTGAACCTTAGACAGAATCGACAACAAAAATAAAGACAGCATTGACAACCAAACCAAAGACATAATTGATAAAATAGTAAAGAAATAATTGACGACCGAAATATTGACAGAATCGGGAGTATACCAAAGAACAAATTGACAACCAAACTACAGACGGAATTGACAACCATACAAAGGAATGCATTGACAACCAAACCATAAACAGAATTGACAACAAAACTATTAACAGAATCGACAACAAAACTAAAGACTGATTTTACAAGCATACGATAGACAGAAATGATCACTTCACTCAAGACAGAGTTGACTACCAAACCTAATGCAGAATTGACCACCATACTTAATATAGGATTGACCACTGATCTGCTGGCAGAATCGATACCCAAACTAAAGATAGGATTGACAACTGATCTGCTGACAGAATCGACAACCATACTAAAGATATGATTGACAACTGATCTGTTGACAGAATCGATACCCAAACTAAAGATAGGATTGACAACTGATCTGCTGACAGAATCGACAACCATACTATAGACAAAATTAAAAGCATACCTCAAGACAGAATCAAAAGCAAATCTTTAGACAGAATTGAAAACAAAACTTGAGACAGAATTGCCAACCAAGCGATAGACAGAATTGCGATATACAGAATTGCCAGCCAAGCGAAAGACAGAATTGCCAACCAAGGGATATACAGACTTACCACCCAAGGGATAGACAGAATTACCACCCAAGTGATAGACAGAATTACCACCCAAGCTATAGACAGAATTGCCAACCAAGCGATAGACAGAATTGCCAACTAAGGTGATGGACATAATTGCCAACCAAGCGATAGACAGAATTGCCAACCAAGGGATAGACAGATTAACCACCCAATGGATAGACAGAATTACCACCCAAGTGATAGACAGAATTACCAAGCAATAGACAGAATTGCCAACTAAGCGATAGACAGAATTGCCAACTAAGCGATAGACAAAATTGCCAACCAAGCGATAGATAGAATTGCCAACAAAGCGATAGCCACTGAATTGCCAACCGAACTATTTACAGAATTGCCAACCACGCAATAGACACTGAATTGACAATCAAACTTATGAAAGCGTTGACAAACAAAATATAGAAATTATTGACAACTGATGTAAACTGTATCTTCAAAGAAATATTCATTATATACCCAAGAAATCAATATTAAATTTCACAGAATTGACAGCGATATATTAAGCAACGTACTGACAAATAAAATATAAATTGTTTTTAAAATCAAATTAATGAGAGTATATATAGACGGTCGGGGTTCGATTTCACCACGGAACATAAAAAGATACGGGGTCACCTGATTAGTCACGTGTGTTGTCCAGGCACTCCGGTTCGCTCACATCTTGTCCAACAAGAATAGTTGATATAAGTTGATATATTATGCTCCATAATTGTTAAATGAATAAATAAATATGATATTAAAAACAGCGAAACCTTACTGAGTAATTTAGTACACATGTAGTTTCTTGTAACATTTCAATATTTTCGTACATTTTGTTGAAAGATTGCATCAGAAGTACCGCATTTCACTTAAGGATTCCTGTCTAACTGCAATGTCGGTTTTGTCTACAGTTTAACCTTCCTATTCCGTCTTTTCGTATTGCAACGTTATCTGCTCTTGTGATCAGGTATTGATTGTTACGTCATTAGTTTGTGTGAGAAAATAACGTCGTTTTCTCAAAGAATTATGACCCTGCTCTCAAGAGCAGATAACTCTGCAATACGAAAAGACGGAATAGCACAATGGAGCTAGGACACAAGGTAACTCATTCGAATAGAATGACAGTAGTCCTGGGTTTCGATTTCGAGTCCCGCTGAAATTTTTAAATCAGGAAACTGCTGTTGATTATTTTTATGTTTACGGCATCTCTATATTTTTATCATAAAAGAATCACAAGGTAAATGTTTTTCTTTACAGAAACTATTTATCGAAGTTATAGTCATCCTGGTAAACTGAGTTTCCAGTGCAACACATTTTTTGCAAGCGGTACGGAGATCAGCTTCGCACCGATCGGGAACCGTCGGCACTGAGAAAATTCGGCTTCGCCCCGAAAGCAGGGCTAGTGATTTAGGTTATGCGAGTTACTTCCCTTCATTTAACTTTCAAAGCATCTTACCTAAGATGTGCTTACATCTTCAGTTATGGATTAAGTTCACTTTTGTGCGCTTCACAGTTATTTTAATTGTGCCGCTGCGTTTATATTTTTTAATTGGCATAAGTAAATATGTTGAGTTAGATACGTTTAGAGTCATGGGATCACCATCCCAGTTTTGTTCAACATCATGTGAGATCGTTTTCGAAATGCTAGTTATTACCTAAATTTCTCATGATATTTTGCGATTGCGCAGACACTGTCGTCCGTCTGTCTGGCGTCAATTTTTTTAACGACAAACAACCACAAGACATAGAATGATACTATTTTGACAGTAGCATGTTTGTTCAAATGAATGACCTTGATCCATTTTCTAGGTAACAAAGTTTAAATGTGTTAAAACCGTTGAATAAGTTCTTCTGAGAAGCCAAGATGTTTCTGATGATCATGTATGGAATGTAGCGTTTTAATGTAAAGAGCTTTAAAGTTTACTCCCATGATTGACATTGACCGACTTTTCTTGGTCACAGAAGTATGTCTTATCTCGTGTATCTGTGACCTTCGTCTCGTGTATCGCTGACCTTCACTTTATGTATCTGTGACCTTCACCTTGCGTTTCTGTGACCTTCACCTGGTGTATCTGTGACCTTCACCTGGTGTATCCATGAC